AGGAAGAGGGGAGGACAGGCAGACCAAAGAAAAAAAAACTGACAACTTGTGCGGGAACAAGCGGTGGAACTGGACAGTGTTGAGGGTTTTAGTTTTTGGTTTTAGGCTAGAGTTGATGGAAGTTCAGGTTTGGGGTTTAGCTGAAACTCAAAACATCTGTAAACCATAATTAAGCCCTTTTCGAAATCGAACCCGGAGGGAGAGGGGTGAACACCTGCTCAGAATAACCCTACAGTAAACCAAATGTCTCTCCGAAACTTTCTGCAAGAATTTGGGAAACTAAACCCTGAACCCTAAACCCTACACCCTCCCAGTTTTAGCCATGTCCTTGCCCACTCCGGACGACCAGCGCTTTGGCCAGCTGCCAAGAATCCTCTCGCTTTCCGGCATCCTTGCTGGCCGAGTCTTCTTGCAGTTTGGGGTTTCGGGCTTGGGTTCTAGCCCTCAACCCTAAACCCTAAACCCTAAACGACCCCGAGCCCTAATGATCCCTAAACCCCATGGCCCTATGAGTCCTTTTGGGGTTAAGTTGTCCTTTCTTTTGTCTTTTTTTTTTTGGGGGGGGGGGGGGGGGGGGGGGGTGTGTGTGCAGCAACCAAAAGATTCGCATTCCTAGCGATGCTCAAGCTGGCAGAGTATATTAGGGTTTAGGGTTTAGGGTTAGGGTTTAGGGCAGTATTGAGGCATGTGTCGCAGCTCTGGAACCGAACCCTACATCCTAAATTGAACCCTTCCATGAGGAGCTTAGGCTCATAATGGGAAAAAAAAGAGCAATGCCAAAAATAGGGGTCGGAAGAATTACTAGTAGTATTCCCTTATGGTTCCTTTATCATTCTTACTATAATTCCCCCCCGCTCCCCCAAAATTTCCGACCTGATCCACACCCCCCCCCCCCCTCCCGCCCCTGTCAACCCAAACAATTCCACCAAACCTGCCAAGATCACATCTTGATGGCTTCGGGGGCCTTCAAGCCTAAACCCTAAGCCCTAGCCCGAAACCCTAGCCCTAAACCCGAATCCCCAGCCCTAAACCCTAAACCCTAAACTCTAAACCCTAGCCCTAAACCCTAGCCCGACACCCCAAACCCTCTCCATCTACTGCGGCCCCATGATGGCAAGGAGCCCCCGGACTTGCTCCTTCCTCCTCGTCATCTTGCAAGTCAGCCCTGGGCCACCCGAAGCCCTAAACCCTAAACCCTAAAGCCTAAACCCTAAACCCTAAACCCTAAACCCTAAAGCCTAAACCCTAAACCCTAAACTTACTTGGGTCCCTAAAGCTACTATATCGGAGCAGGAAATGGAGGCGCAAGGTTTCGGGATTAGATATCCGAGACCTATACTAGGAGGTTCATAGGGTCAGAAAAATAGTCCGCCCAAGAGATTGGCAGTACTAGTCCAGTAGGCTACGGTACTTGAAACCCTAGAACCCTAAAACCCTAAAACCCTGCTTCTTGAAAATAAGTTCCAATTTAGGGACTCTGGGACGAAAGGGTTGGGAGCTTCGGTTGAAGGTTTAGGGTTTTGCATTGAGGGTTTGCTGTGATATGGCGCAGAAGATGTGAGGCCTGGGATGCAGAGTACCTGCGAAAGCTTGACAAAAATGCAAAGCGCAGCTATGGCCCGATTTTGAAGGGCCATCAGACACTTCTCTCCCACCTAGACCATCCTAACCTATACCTGACCAACCTTACAACACTAAATCCTGAAAAACCAGCCTTGCAAGTCTAAATGCTAACCGAAACCCTAATCTTTGGGGCGCCGCGATGATCTTTCATGACCTCGCATCTTGGTAGCCAGTAACCCCATTCTAATAAGGGCACCCTTTTTGGGGTTGGTTACTTTGTAAGGGAACCCAGAACCAAGAAAAGGGTGAAGGGTACCACTGGGCTACCAAGGCATGCAGCTGAAGCATCCCAAGAACCTAGTTTAGGAAAGACGCCTCGGTGAATCAAGGATAGCCTAACCTTCAACCCAGCACATCTACAGGGGCGCGGACCATGGTTCACCAGCCATGGCACTATGCGTGGAGTTTCAGAGAGAAGAGGTATAAGGCCCTTGTTTAGGGTTTAGGGGGGGGGTTTTAAGGGGGGGGGGGGGGTTAGGGTTTAGGGTACGGTTTGTATAGTAAGGGGCTCGTGCCTTAAACCTTCAAGGCTCCTTGAGAGCCCATCATATGTAAGTTGTAATACTCATATCCCCAACTAGGGTTTAGGGTTTAGGGCTTAGGGTTTAGGGTATGGGGTTTAGGGACCCTCGTAGCTCTACTCCGGAGTACCGCGGCCGGAGATCTCTTAGAGCTTCTGGGGCCGAGGAACCCTACAAAACCCCCCCTTTTTTGGCAGAGCCCTAAACCCTAAACCCTAAACCCCAAACCCCAAACCCTAAACCCTAAACCCTAAACGAACTACCATGTCGGAGGGCCCCCTGTTGCCTCTGTAGTCTGGTGCCTTGAGCGCAAAAGCTTCCGCCCTCCCGCCCGATGAGCTTGCAGCTTGCATGTCAGGGTTTAGGGTTTAGGGTTTAGGGTTTAGGGTTTAGGGTTTAGGGTTCAGGGTTTAAGGTTTAGGGTTCATGTGTAGTTGCCCGATTTTGGGGGTACGTATTCCCCTACTCATGAGTGCCCATGAACCTGCCAAGAGGGTTTCGGGAGCAAGGGGCTTTAGGAGGCCCCCCCCCCCGCAATTCAAACTAGAGAGCAACCTTTGTGCCCTTCATAGCAAGGTATAGGGCTGAGGGTTTTCGGGCTTAGGGTTTAGGACTGGGTTTAGGCTTTAGAGTTTCATTTGTACCCTTTAAAAAGGGTAATGTGTCCTCAGTTCTGGGAAATGTACCCTTTTAAAAGGTACGAGGTTCCTCTGGGAATATGAGATGTTTTGGTGCATTTGCACCCCACTACTAGCTTTGGAGAAACAGTTTTGAAGGCAGAGCCATAGCTTCAAAAGCCAAAGGACTTGGGGGTACCCTTTTGGGCTGGGGGTCCCTTTGAGGGGATTCTCTTCTATTTTGGGTATAAAAGGGATACCCCACCCCCCCCTATTTTTATGTAGGCTTTGGGGTGTAGGACGGTTTAGAATGTAGGGCTCAGCGTGCTCAAGACCGCAAACGGACAGTGTTGCCCACACTGCCTGGCTCGCATCCGAGTCGAATCTCAGCGCTGCTATAGTGGGAGGCAGCGCCAGGGCTTCGAGATGCGGGGGCTGGCATGACAATCATCTGTTCCTTGGGGGCGACATGAACCCTAAAAGGGCTTATGGTCCACATAACCTTAACAGGAAATAGAATAGTAGAGGGTATATCACCCCCAATTTTAAGCTTCATATGGTCCCCAGGGTTGATGTTAGAGTAACCTTTGCGGATGTAGGGCTTGAGGCGGGCTTGAGCAACATAAGTTCTAGAGAGCTCATAAGCCAACACTTGGGGGGGATCCTGGCCCACTCTGGTTTAGGGTTTAGGGTTTAGGGTGTAGGGTTTAGGGTTTAGGGCTTCAGGAGCTTGAGCATGGCACTTAAGCCATAAACCCTGAACTTAAACCTGCTCAACCCTAAACTCTCATCTTAGTTGTCCAGTATCCTGGGGGGAACTAAAGGTTAACCTTTGGACATAAAAAAAGGGATAATACCCAAAGAAGGTTAAAGGTTACCTACTCTACTACAAAATATCCTAAACCCTAAACCCTAACCCTAAACCCTAAACCCTAAACCCTGAACCCTAAACCTCGGGCAGTTGGCTAGACCCGCCACCCGATGTTTGCCACGCGAGCTTGCAGGGTCGAATTACAAGCGGCTCTTCCTCGCGGACATGTTCATTCAGGATGCACTTGAGGGTTTAGGGTTTGGGGACCAAGGCTTAGGGCTTAGGGCTTAGGGCTTAGGGCTTAGGGCTTAGGGTTTAGGGTTTAGGGCTTAGGTTTAGGGTTAGGGTTTAATCGTTTAGGGTCTAGGGTTTAGGGTTTAGGGTTGGGTCTAGGGGTTGGGTTTTGGGGGACTCAAGGCCTCTGCGCGCATCTAGTTTCTACTTGGGCCCCAAAGCTGCTGTGTAGGAAATTCCCTTAAGGATGGAGACTACGTTGACATGGAACCTCCTGTTTTGGGGGTAAATTAGGAATACTCTGACTGGACATCTGTTTGGGGGGTTCTGTTCTATCGAAGCACTCGAAACCCCAAGCCCCACACCCTAAACCCTAAACCCTAGACCCTAAAGTCTACAGTACTACGATTGTGGCTGTCGCTGTACCTGGGACCATACACCCTGAAGCCATCCTTTAGCATAGGGCGGTCTAGGGTTTAGGGTTTGGGGTAACCCTAAGTTGAGGTGAGGGTCGGCTTCTATATCGGCGAGGCATCCCGCTTTCTGAGACCAGACTGCGCGACGGCTGCTGCTTCGCCAACGCACACTGTGCTACCACTGCCCGCTATGATAAGGCTCCTCTCCTCCAAAGCAACGCTGGCAGCCTAAACCCTAAACTCAAACCCTAAACCCTGAACCCTTCACCAACCTTTTGCGACAACCCGGCCTCGAAACTAAACGCTGATAAAGTCTGGCGACGTCACGGTGCCCGTGGCCCTTCAAGCCCCTGTGGTCTAGCTTATTCCCAGCTTGTCTTGTGTGTTTCTTTAAGGGTTCAGGGTTTGGGGGAGGGGGGTTGGGGAGCTCTTCGATACAGAGCAGCTGGTCAAATCAACTGTCGATGGACCGCAAAGAGTATCCCAAGGGCTGGACCGTGGGCTCTCGTGCGCTCTCGTGCTGCCAGAAGCTAACTCAATTAAGGACGGGCTTGTGAAGCTCTGGACAACAAGTCCGTCAATTCAAGGCAGGGCCCCCCTTAAACGTCAGGTTATACTAGGGCCCTTAAGGACACACGATAGTTGCCTGGAAAGGCAAGGTAAGTTGGTGAGTTTACATCCTTCTGACGCTAAAACCTACAAAACCCTAAACCCTAAACTGCATATGAGGGGCCACCTCCCTCGTAACGCGTGCAGGTGCAGAAGGCTCGCCCTCGTCTCACGTGGCCGCCAGCCTGCGTGGGGGCGAGGCAACAGGATCTCGGGGTTTAGGGTTTGGCCTTTAGGGTTGAGGGAATGCAATGCAGATACTGTGGGAACGAGGGGCACCATTTCTGCCACTAATAATGTGTGATGTGTTTGTTATTATTATTTTTTTTTTTTTTGGGGGGGGGGGGGAGAGGCCTGAGGCATTTGCATCATCATGGAAGTCTGATTTGCAAACCGATCCCAAACATTACACCCTGAACGCTACATGGATTCAGGGTTGTAATTGCCACCCTGCCAAGCAGACAATCCACACGAGAGGGCTTAGGGCTTATACCCTCGCCGCAGACTGGACTGAGATAGCTGAAAGAAACCGAACACAAAAAGTGGGGTTCCTTTTGGCCACTCCACAAGGGGATTCTTATCTACCCATACGCATACTGTATGTGTACCTTGTCCCTGAGGCCCTCAGTTGGAATCCTGGGCCTGGGCCCTAAACCCTAAACCCTAAACCGAAACCCTAGACCCTAGACCCTAAACCCCAAAACCTAAACCCTAAACCCTACGGGTACATGGGTCATCTGCATCCCTATCCATGACAACTACGAGCCTGCGAGCTCCGGTGGCGGCTCCTCGAATCCGCTCCTGAATGCCGACGGGGGCACCCCCAAGAGCTGGCGTGGTTTAGGGTTTAGGGTTTAGGGTTTAGGGTTTAGGGCTCAGGGCGTACTTGGCGGCTCACGGGAATGTACCAGTAGGGCAAGTATAAGCATTCCTGCCCTTATTCAACCACACTTACTTTGCCGATCACTACCCATGAATCTCCAAGAATGGAGACCCTAAACCCTAAACCCTAAACCCTAAACCCTAAACCCTGTTTCAGGGTTCAGGGGTTTAGGGCCCGAAGCCAAAACTCACTCGGCTTCTGGCTCCGCGGCTGCACCTAACTGTACACCTTGTGCCTTAGCTTTAGGAGCTTGGACCTAAAACATAGACACCCAAAAATCAGACTCTGCAAGCCTCGAAATCCACCCAAAAAACCTAGGGTTCAGGGTTTCGGGTTGCTTCCAAGGCGCCACAAGTGCCAGTAGCTTGGTCTCAGCTGCCTGGCCAGGCGCAAGGGTTGAGGGTTCAGGGTTCAGGGTTTAGGGTTTAGATTTTAAATAGGGCCTTGGGTTGGAGAGGGGAGAAAGGCGAACTTAATTTGCAGATGAGCTCTGAGTGCTGTTTTCTCGGGCTTTGAGGTTGGGAGGGGTGTTGGGACTAGGACCCTTCGGTGCTTGAAGATGGCTCTGCTGCTTACGCTCTTTCAGGCCGGGCGGGATGTGTCACTGCGGATCAAGCATAGACTGAGTGGCGGCACCAGCACATCTGAAGAGACAAGCCCTCACCTGCCTTGGCTTACTTCTGAACCCCTTTTAAAAGTTTAACTTTTAGGATCCTTATTGTAGTTTCTTCAACAACCCAAAAGGTTCCTAAGAGCCAGCCAGAAGAAAGCCAAGCTGCTACACCCCATCCCGTCAAGCGTGGGATATCAGGGCCGGCCACCGCAAGATTGCGAAAAGATCCCCGAAACCGGAAACCCAAAAACCTTCTCAGCCCAAATTCAGCCCCAAAACCCAAAACCCAAAACCCAAAACCCTAAACCCTATAAATCTTAAACCAACAGCCCGAGTGCCTCTGCCCGCTGCGCCTGCTGGAGCGCCTGCGCCCTTGCTTCCTGGCATTGGGGGCGCATTGGGTTAGGGTTTAGGGTTTAGGGTTTAGGGTTTAGGGTTTAGGGTTTTGGGTTTGGGGTTTGGGGTTTAGGGTTTAGGGTTTAAGGTTTAGGGTTAAAAGGACCTGTAGGGCCTATACGACCTTTCGGGTCCAGGGCTGAAAAGGTTTCGGACATCTTGTTAACCACCCGCCTTAGTTTAGTGTTGAGGGCTTTTAGGTGTGGAGGGTCTATGGGGCTTTAGGGCTTGAGGTTCGGGGCTTAGGGTTTCAGAGTTTAGTTCCCCAGTACCCTACAAATCAACACAGAAGCGCTTCGCCATGGGTTCCCCTACTACCCCCCTCTTTACTAACTTCCACTTATATGTTCCCCAGTAAGACTACTTAAGGAAAATTAAGCCTACTTAAGATTAGTTAAGGGGGGAATTGGGGGGGGGGGGTAGTATAGAGAGGGGTAGGAAGGGAACCTGTGAATTTAGGGTCAGCCAGCCAGAGTCAGCACCAAATACAAGAAGAACCTGGTCGAAAGAACCCTAACCCTAACCAACAAGGGTTATTGAACCCTAAACCCTAGACACTAAAACCTAAACCCGAGTTAGTTCTTTGAAGGGATCCTGACCGAAAAAAAAGGACATCGGGCACCACTGGGCGGCCTAGAAGTAGGGCCCCCCCTAGGGATACGTCGAGTTATAGCGACCATAAACTGGGCTATAAGCACATAACTCCCTAAAACCCTAAACCCTAACTTAGTGAAACCTAACCCTTTTTCTAACCCAGGCTGCTCTCCTGCCAGCTGGGGGGGGGCGCGGCCCTAAACCCTAAACCCTAAACCCTAAACCCTAAACCCTTTTGCATCCGGGCTTGGGGAGTCGGCCGGGAATGGTCAGGAAATCGCAGTGACTTGCATCTGATAATTGGAGCAATTGGAGCAACCATCTCAAGGTTTTCAAGAGAAGCAGGGATCCCTCAAGCTATTCATGAGAAATCAAGCAAAAGCATGCAACTGATCGGAAGAATTACGCAAGACCTCCTTCACAAGTTCAAGCTGTGACTAGGCAGCCGAATCTTGCCGTTCACGGGCTTGTCGTTCCAGTCTTCGCTGTGCTTTCATTGCTCGGCGGAGCTCGATGTGCTGGGCTTTCAAACTCGCAAGGTCATGGTCAGGAATCCTAGCACGTACGTCTGGGCATCGTGAGGCTTGTGGCCTGTGAACGTCACATGCCATCGTCAGGCCATGAGGAACTGAAGAACACGCCGCACTGCTAGGTGAATCAATGGAGCTGGCCGTGGGCAAGAAGTGATCCGATGTGTCGGCCTCCAGTTGGCGCAAGCGTTCTTCAAGTGCCACCGCAGATGCCTTCGCTTGATCCATAATCTTGTCCACAATCATGGTGCACTCACCTGCAGAAATGATGTCCTCACATGTCTGCGCCTCCGCATCTGCAAGGAGTCGCTGCGGGGCGTCAACGAGTTTCACCTCCTGAGCATATTGAGCATTTGGTACATCACTGCCATCAGGATGAAGAGCCTGAAACAAAGAGATTGTTCTTCGCCTGCAGGATTCTTGGGGGACTGCCGCCGAATCAACATGTGCATCACAGGAAACAAGTGCAAACAAAGCCTGTTGAAGATGTGGTAGGAGCTCCATATATCCACATCGTGTTGCCAATCTGACAGAGTAGCCTAAACACGCAGCCAGTTTAGCATCCATTGCAGCTCGAGGCAGATCACGAATTAATGTTTACCCATTTGGGTCTCGTAGCCAAACTTGAGCCGTAGCACCCTAAACCCTAAACCCTGAACCCTAAACCCTGAACCCTAAACCCTAAACCCTAAACCCTACACACTAAAACCTAAACTGGAGTTCGTGTAGGGATTAGATCTGGTGGCCACCTCTGTAAGCTGCGCTTGCTGCGACGCCTCTTCTCGAGCGTCCTCGCAAGCCAATGCTCCCCTAAGCCCTCCCTTTTCTTTCTTTGTACTCAGGGTTTAGGGTTTAGGGCTATGGAGTTTATAGGGCTTATACAGTAAGGTCTATTAGACGGGCTTATAGGCTTATAGAGTTTACACGGTTTGAGAAGCCCTCCCTGAACCCTAAACCGTATTGAATAACCGTAATCTGGCCCCTTACAAAGCCATTTTCGAGTTGACATTAAGCTTAGAGTCTTAGAGCGGCCAGGGTGCAGGTGCTGACATGTGTTTGGCTGATGTTTGGGGTCTGCCCGGGCCCTCAAGAATGCCCGTAAGAATGGCCTGTCGCCCCTTTTTAAGTTACACCGGCATTGTTGGCGCTGGATGATCATTTGAAGGTGTAGGTAGTTTTGTGACGTATCTCAAGCCTTCAGCGAACAAACAGCCAACATCTGCAATTGAGGCGGCCTCAGCTGCCTGCATTGCTGTTTCCAGCTCCTGGCTGAGGCGAGATACCTGTGCCGAGAAGGTCAGGGACATCTCAAGCACTGAGAAGGCCAGGGACATCTCAAGCACTGCCTACTATTTGGTCACCTTTTTATGTGGAGACTTCTCTTATGTGGAGACTTCTCCTAGGTCCTAGATGTTCAGGCCTTCGGGGCGTCACAAGGATGTCTGTCGGTGCATTCGAGCTACTACAAGAAGCATCATTCGCCATGGTCACTGCAAAATGCAACCGTAGGCCCCTCACTGATTGGTTGGCCTGGCCTAGAGCTGTGGGCGGGTGTGGGGAAGACTCAACCTAATAATAAACGAAAAGGGTACACGAAGCCTTTGGGTACATTGCAACTCCCTCCCAGAGAGGTCTCCTGATAAGGTTGCGAGGCACAGCCAGCCTTAAAGGTCCTCCACTCCTTCAGAGGCTTCTCCCCTAAACCCTAAACCCTGAACCCTAAACCCTAAACCCTAAACCCTAAGCTTCTGATCAGCCCGGATCTAGAGCCTTCCCCAAAGCCAAACCTGAACATGTACGTCGTCAAACGAACATGGCCAAGGACTCGAGGCGCGTCAGCCAGCCCCTTTTTGGGCCCTAAGGCTACTACATAGGGGCCCCGTAAAGGCCCAATAGTATAAACCCTAAACCCTAAACCCCAAACCCTAAACCCTAAACCCTACACCCTACACCCTAAACCCTAAACCCTAAACCCTATAGCTCCGAAAGCCTCCGCTTGAAGCTCTTCGCGGGCCGACTGGAGCGCTGCTGAGTCGCCATCGGAGGATGCCTGCCACATGCACCCAGACGCTTACTTTGGGAGCCTAGGTGACGCGAATGTGTTCTTTTGCTATTGGTAACATGCCTTTTATGGGGATTATAAGGGGACAGTACTGGCAATCTAGTCTCCGGTGCTGTATTGCACCGTGCACTTACCGAAAAATCAGCAAGTTGCATGTATTCGTTTCCCATGGCGCCATCAGAATCTAAGCTCCCCACTCATAGAAAAAATGGGAGAAAAGGGATAAATACACATGCACAGAGCCACACCCACACAGTTAAATACACATGTGTGTGCATGCGCACATGCAAAAATACACATATATATATATATATAGAGAGAGATGTGTGTGTATACACACACACACACTTGATCATGTCACCCATAATGACCGATAGCACCTGCTAATCCTTAAACCCTAAACCATCAACCATTTTGGGCCATAAAGCAATTGCTCATCGTCTTGTCGGGGGCCGTGATTCCAAAGCTGTCAATTCGATGAGCTATCGTCTTGCCTGCGGGCAATATTTTGTTTTGGGCATCTTCTGAGGGTGTTTAGGGTGTAGGGTCCTACCCCTGAACCCTTAACAACCATTGCTTCAATCACACCCCGAATCACCCACATTAGGGTAGTTTTGTAGATTAGGGTCCCTTTTTGGGGCCTGTATCATATATAATACGGCATCTTCGAAAAAAGACCCCAAAAAGGTACCCTAATTCAGAGAAGTACCACATACTGGCTGAATTATCTAGGGGGACAGGGCTAACCTTTGGGCTTCATGGGCATAAGGAAGTTGACTATTACAGCAGTCCCAAAGCTTGACTATTCTAGCAGCCCCAAACCAAATACCTACTACTTTTTCAAGAGGGTACCGAAACACTAACACCCTAAGGCCCTAAGGCCCAAAGGCTCTAAAACCCTACAACCCCACAACCATAAAACCTTAAAAGCCTGAACCCTTTTTTGAACCCGCGCTATGCAACTGCCTGAGACGGGAATGCGACCACGAAAGCTCAAACCCTAAAACCCTTAAACCCGAAAACCTTAAAACCCTAAGATACACCTTAATGCAAACCCTAACCATTCCTAATCGACAACCCTACCGCCATGAAACCCCAAAACACCAAACCCAAAACCCCCAAACCCCAAACCTCAAACCCGCAAACCCCCCAAACCCCAAACCCCAACCCCAAACCCCCAAAATCGGAGCCGCTGTGTAGGCCATGCCCTAAATCCCTAAAACCCAGAAATCCTAAACCCTGATCCCCGAAAACCCTAAACCCCTAAACCTTAAACCCTCTTTTACTATGTATATTTAAACCCTAATGACCTTCGTTACCATGTGGTTTTTTTCTGGGCCCTAAACCCTGACCCCCTTCGTGGGCAAATGGTTTTTTTCCTGGGCCGTGCCTCCAAAAACACCCCAAATGAGGGGGACCCCAGGATCGGCCCGGGTCCCAGTTCAAAATGCGATTTTTTAGTACTGAAATCGACGCTTCTGGGTGGGCTCTCGTTTTCTGGATTTTTGATCAAAACCGAGCCTTTGGGCCCTAAACCCTGACCCCCTTCGTGACCAAATGGTTTTTTTCCACCCGGGGGGCCCTAAACCCTGACCCCCTTCGTGGGCAAATGGTTTTTTCCACCCCGGGGGGCCCTAAACCCTGACCCCCTTCGTGACCGAATGGTTTTTTTCCACCCGGGGGGGGCCTAAACCCTGACCCCCTTCGTGGGCAAATGGTTTTTTTCCACCCGGGGGGGCCCTAAACCCTGACCCCCTTCGTGACCAAATGGTTTTTTCCACCCCGGGGGGCCCTAAACCCTGACCCCCTTCGTGACCACATGGTTTTTTTCCACCCGGGGGGGGGCCTAAACCCTGACCCCCTTCGTGGGCAAATGGTTTTTTTCCACCCGGGGGGGCCCTAAACCCTGACCCCCTTCGTGGGCAAATGGTTTTTTTCCACCCGGGGGGGCCCTGGATTTTTGAGCAAAACCGAGCTTCACCGGCTTCAGGATGTCACGTTCTGTAAGAGGGAAAGTTTGCTTCCAAAAAGTTAGATTTTAGGTTTTGGGCGGACTTTTGAGCTATAAGCCTATTGAAAATGTATTGATTGAACTTTGTATTTTCTCAATGTTATGGGTTTCTTGGGTGGGTGGGGTTTTTTCCAACGCTTGACAAGCTGCTTGACTAGTGAAGGCTTGGACATGAGATGCTGAACACTAAACCCTAAACCCTAAACCCTAAACCCTACACCCTAAACCCCTAAACCCTAAACCCCTACACCCCAAACCCCTTAAACCTGTTCAGGCCATGCCTCCTGCGGCTCATGACGCAGAGACTCGGCCTCTTGCTCGGCCTCCCAAAGTTGATATTTTGGGGTTTGGGGTTTGGGGTTTAGGTTTTGGGGTTTCGGGTTTTTGGGGTTTGGGGTTTTGGGGTTTAGGGTTCGGGGTCTGGGGTTTAGGGTTTAGTGTTGAGGGTTGGGGGATTTAAGGTTTTGGGGTTAGGGTTGAGGGTTTGGGGGCTGAACCCAGTACCGCCCCAACTCTAAGCCCAACATGCGACGATTGGGCTTGAGGTTTTAGAGTTTAGTCTCTGTTAAGTATGTTGATGTCATTTTGGCTTTTTGCTTTATTTTGTAAGAAACAAGGTCTAGGGACTAGGGTTTGGGATTTGAGGATTAGAAGAAGGCTTGCAAGATTTAGGGTTTTTTGGCTTGGGGTTTCTTACTAATTAGGTGTTCTTTGAAGCATTTTTGTATGACACACGTTTTAGGGATTAGGGTTTGGGGTTTGAGGATAGAGTAAGGCTTACAAGGTTTGGGTGTTGTTTGGCTAGCAGCTTCTTACTAATTAGGGAGTTCTTTGAAGGTTTTGTTGGGGGAGTTAGGTAGCCTACATAGTGCCTGAAAGCATACGTTACCTTATTCCTTAATTCCCACTGTTTCGGATCCCTCAGTACAGGGAGGGGGCCCCCTTTACTCCACAAGGCTCTGAAACCTATAGGGCTTGAGGATTCTTGTGTCGGGGTTACTACACAGTACGTGTGTGTAAGAACCTGCTACCCCATGCCTTGCAGGAACTTCCCTGACGCGAGCCCCAGCCTGCTCTCGCTGATGCCTCTCCTGGTTGCCAGACACAGGACGTCAGTCAGCTCTAGGTGTGTAGGGAAAATGGAGGGCTTTGGGGTGTACTGTTAAGGTGAAAAAAAGCCTTAGCTGGGGCTCTAGGCGTCTACACGCGGTTTCTCTAAGGGCTCATGAGGTGCCATGGACCAGCAACAGGCACACGCCAATTTTTGATGACTGCCAACGTCAACGCCGGCCTTTTCTAGGCGGCCCCTGGCCGCAAGTAGCTCCTCTTCCTGCAGAGTGTTTTGGGATTGTTGGGATTTGGAACATATGTTGGGAGGTTCCCCTTTTTCTAACAACTTTTTTGTAAGAGTGGCATTTGGAGTTAGGGGTTTAGGGCCGTTCTCCGGTCGCATTCTGTCGTTCCTGAAGTGAGGCCGTCCCGCGACGTCCTAGTAGGGCTTGGGAACATCTCTCTTGCTCAACCGTACCTTTTCCCACCGACCTGTTCCCCAAGCCCTAAAGAGCCCGGTTTGAAGATTGAAGATTTCCGCAAAAACTTGTCCAGCAAATCTTCAATCTTCAATCCGGGGCCAATTCAAATCGGGTCTGTGCGGACTCCATCCTCTACATGAAAAATTCTGAGAAGTTCTAACATCTGGCATGTAGCAATGGATAGTGGATATACAAGCATACAGAATGGTGGAACACTATACATGTAAATTTAGTCTCCTTTAACCACCCCCGCTGAACCGTCTCAACCTGCATAAGAGGCCAAAGGGTGTACCAAACCTAGACATATATACATATATACATACATATACATACATGTACACACACACACATATATATATATATGTATATACGTATATACGTATATACGTATATACGTATATGTCTTGTATATGTATATGTATATGTATATGTATATGTATATGTATATGTATATGTATATGTATATGTATATAAGTAAGTATGGAGGGGGTACAAGTTAAATACTTATTAACCAAACACATAAAACAATCAATTAATGCAGAACATGTATACGAATTAATAATACATATAATAATTATATATATATGTGTGTGTGTGTGTACTTTTCGAGATAAAGAATTATGCAAATGCGGGTAACTATATGGAGCTTAAGCAAGTTCAGGCTGCGTTCGAGCTTCAAGCGCAACATGAATTCCTGTCAACCGTGTCTTCCTGCTGGCCTTTTGGTCCAAGTCAAACTCCAGCTGCTCTGCCTCAAGACTTTTGACAAACAAGCCGGCTGCCGGGCGTAGGGCAAATGCTTTCGATGTCATACCTTGAGCTAAGGCAAGAGTGCAAGATTGCTGCTTTGACAGTGGGACGATGCCATGATGACTCATGCCCTCTACTTCGGGTGGTCTAAACTAGACCCCGGACCCCCGAAATCCCCTGAACATTCCATGGAGCACCAGCATTGCCCAAAGAAGTCCTGCCGACAGAAGCCCCACCGTTTGCTCAAACTCATATGAATCTTGAGGGTTTATCAAGAGGGGCCCCCTTCTTGGACGAACTAACTTAAGGTCTTCGTAATACTTAAAACCCAATTTGGGGTGCCCTTAAACGACTCTGCTTGTGACTATAGGGGCTTCAGGGGATTCTTTTAAGGCCCAGGCGTATCGCTGCAAGGCTTGCAGGCCTGCTTGCTGCGTGCCGCTGGCCTGCCGTCCCCAAGGGGTGTCGAGCCGCGTCGTGGGGTTTTCTTAAATGGGTCACCACGTGCGCGTGCGGGGGCTTCCCAGAATAGGTATAACCATGTAAGGATTGTGGCATTTTGGGAGGCAGATAGTAGGGGATGTCATATTTCATGGGTTCCTCTACGATATAGGCAGCGATAGCCCTCAGAGGAAGCGCAAGAAACCTCTTTGTTGTGAACCCAGGTTCTGCACCAAGACACCCTAAACCTTGAACCGAAGAAC